CACATACAATTACACTAGAATCAGACTGTTTTGATCCAGAACCATGAGAATTTTTTTTTATGTTGACCAGTGGTATTAACACCTTGAGTACGATAACTTACACCTTGTGTACGGTGACTTAACTTTTTGAATACGATGACGTAAACAAACTTGAGCTCAATATCATCCAACGAAAGGAAATAAGTCAGGCATTACAGTGGTACAGCACCTCACTCGACATGGTTTGTATTTTTACGGCATTAGTAAACCGCTCTCTGATACCATTATCTAGTAGATACTGATCACAGACGTTCTGGTAGTACAGCGTTAGAAATTCACTATAATACAAAGATACCAAAATAAATATTCGTTATTAGAGACCTTGTGTTAACGCTGCTCTGGCAACTCACTTTAATACCAAGATACCAACACTGAATACTCATGACTGGAGACATTAGTGGTAAGACCTGGATGAACATGAACACTATACAGGAGTTGCCTGAGCTGGACTTTACCTGTGGCAGGTGCGCGGGGTAATTGGACGGCCAGTGTGGAGGACGACAGGACGAGGCGTTTAATCAATTAAGAATGTTTGGTTTGGGAGGAAACAAGGAGAGGAGGAAGAGGAGGAGGAAAGGGGAAAGGAATAGGAGAGCAATAGAGAGAGACTGACTTTTATATAACGTGAGTGAATGTTGAGGAGAGAGGAAGTAAGAGAAAAAGGAATAGAGGAGACAGGGAGAAGAGGAAAGGAAAGGGTGGAGGAGAGGAAATGAGAGAGGAGCTGACTGTTCCATGACGCGCGTGTGTATGGGTGTACTGCGCACATCATTGTCACTCCTAAAAAAACCCTTTAATTCATATTACGCTGCATAACATTCAAATCCACTGCCCTGGTAGAATCTCAGAGAACGGGAATCGTTGATAAGGCTAACTCACCTAATGACTGTTACGGAATTATTTGATGAATTGTACCCAGCTACGGGTATATAATATTAATTGTATGTATTCATAGCATTAAGGAGAACTCAAGGTATCTATAAGATGATTGGGAAAGTCCAGTTGAGTCGGACTAGTGTACTGTAGGACTAAGTGTGGATCGTGGTTTGAAGGTCATACTATTTACGTCTGTGAACGTGTAGCGAACATAACTTCCGCAGATATCATATGAAAATACATGAGAACAATGGTCTGGAAAAAGGATGAATGTATCAGAACTATGTGAGGTGTTGGAAGTGACCCAGAAACTATACTTGAAAGGAAATGTCTTGTATGCATCGGTGTGAACTTAATACACCTCGTATCCTCGGGTGGCGTATACCCACGACATGTACAGTGATCAGAGAGTTTTATGTCTGTGTTCAAGTAGTGCAATGTGTGAGGGGAGGATCCCTAATTACAGTTTTAAGTGAAGTGGAGATGTACTGCGCACATCATTGTCATTCCTAAAAACCCCATTTAATTCATATTACGCTATATAACATTCAAATGCACCGCGCTTGTAGAACCTCAGAAAACGGGAAACATTGATAAAGGACAACTCACCTACTCAATGTTCCTAGACCATGTGTTGTATTGTACCCAGGTACAGTTATATCATATTAAGTGTATGTATTCATAGCATTAAGGAGAACTCAGGGTATGCATAAGATGAATGTTAAAGTCCAGTTGAGCCGGACTAGTGTACTGTAAGACTAAGTGTGGATCAGGGTTTGAAGGTCATACTATTTACGTCTGTGAGCGTGTAGCGAACATAACTTCCACAGATATCATATGAAAATACATGAGAACCATGATCTGGAAAAAGGATAAATGTATCAGAACTATGTGAGGTGTTGGAAGTGATCCAGAAACTATACTTGAAAGGAAATATCTTGTATGCGTCGGAATGAACTTAATACACCTCGTATCCTCACGTGACATATACCCACGACAGGTACAGTGATCAGAGAATCTTATGTCTGTGTTCAAATAGTGCAATGTGTGAGAGGAGGATCCCTCATTACAGTTTTAAGTGAAGTTGATACACCCCCGCCATGAACATTCAGCCTTTGTTTCAAGGCGCGATATGTACCTGCCTCGGGTGCCACGTTGATATTATAACCCCATGAATTTACCCAAGAACTAGCAAACCAAGACCTTACCTTAGTGTGTAATTTAGGATTAAAATATGTGTTTATAAGGCATGAGTGACAATATACCGAAAAGTGTTCAGGTGAGAACCATAAGAAACAAAAGTGCAGATTAAAGATTGGAAACTGTAGGCCTACGTGATGAGGAGCGGCGGGGCAATGCCCTCAGTCTTCCTCGTTCTACCATCACCCCAGGTTCCATGCGGTCGGAGTACCTTGCCGCCCGGCCGCCATTATCCCTTTGAGCGTCACAACAGGTGGTGACTACTCCCCGCTATGCCAATCCACTGTGAACCTGTGGATTTCCAGCGCACCACTCCAAATGAATAGTCACAAATCAGGAGACCGTGAGAAACTCTGCGGTCGCCACTTGGAGCGACCTATAATACCAGGCGTAGAAATAGTGCTGGTATGTCTCTAGGTGAAGCCCTCGTCTTTACCCACCGAGGGTGGTGTGCGAACGAGGTGCCTGTTGTGTATACCTAAAAGTCACAAGGAGTCCCATACTTGCAGGTATGGAGTGTACATGTGTGTTGAGATGGTGCTAATATGTATGATAACCGACGGTGCTATATTCCATACAGGTGGAGCAGTCTGATGTGTTAAGGGATAGTGTAAGAAGGAATGACCGAGGTAAGGTGGTCACAGATTGTTATGCAATAAGTATGTGGATGACATGCCATTAATGTAAGAGTCTGGTGCCCACCTGGGTAACCACATTTCCGTTGTTCTTCTGAGGAAGGCCAATTCATGTATATGTTTTTTACCAGTATGTTTTATAAGGAATAAATCAATTTAGACATGTTATGGTTTCACCCTTCTTTACCCTTATCGATCTGGTCAATGGAAAACCTAACCCAATGCCTAGTCCACTCTGCACGCTACCTAACGAGCTACATACTGTCCAGAGGGGGTCTGGTGGCAGCTACCCTTAGAAATTAAGATTAGAGTTAAGTCATCCCCTTAGACTTAGTGACCCCAGAATCTGGCAGTATAGAGATACCCACGCTATGAACATTTGGCTTTTGTTTCAAGGCAGCGTCCCTTGTACCCGGCCTACAGGTGTGAGTTGTTGATATAGCCCACTTAATTTCCCCAAGAACTGTCAAGCCCGAACCGTATTCTAGTATGTAAGTTACGATTAAAATATGGATTTATAAGACACCAGGTCACAATAAACGGGAAAATGGAGAGGTGAGAACCATAAGAAATCAAAGTAAAAATTAAAGATTGGAAACTGTAGGCCTACGCGGTGAGAAGCGACAGGGCACTGCCCTCAGTTGCCTTCGTTCTCCCATCAACTCATGTCAGTGTCCTCCATCGGGCTACATCCCGCCCTAAAAAAGACATATAGCAGTTATTTCAGCTTAAGACTTTGCCTGGTGTATAAAGTGAAGTAGTAATGTGTTACAGGGGGTAATAACCTCCCATCAGGCATTATTTCTCAGTATCCTTCGCTCTCTCATAAAACTCAGGTCCCACGGGGTCAGAGCACCTTGCTGGGCGTCGGCCATTATCCCTGTGAGCGTCCCACCATGTGAGGTGACTACCAGCTATGCTATTCCACTGTGAACCTGTGGATTCCCAGCATACCACCCCAAATGAGTGGGAATAAATAAGGAAACGCTTGAGAAACTCCGCGGTCGTCACTTGGAGCGACCTATAATACCAGGCGTAGAAACAGTACTGGTATGTCTCTTGGTGTAGCCCTCGTCTCTACCCACCGAGGGCGGTGTGCGAACGAGGTGCCTGATATGTGGATCTAGAAATTACAAGGAGTCCCATCCTTGCAGGTGTGGAGTGTAACAGGTGTGGTGAGCTGGTGCTACTATGTATGATAACCTTAGGGGCTATATTCCATACAGGTGGAGCAGGGTTATTGAAGGAAGAAATGACCGAGGTAAGGTCACTCATTGTTTTGCAATAAGTATGTGGATGACACGCAACTAATGTACGACGTCTGTTGTCGAGCAGGTTAACCAGAATCATCGTTGTTCTTCTGAGGAAGGCCAACTCACTTGTATTTTAACGGAATGCAGCATGTTTTATAAGGAATAAATTAGTTAAGACATTTTATGGTTTCACCCTTCTTTCCCCTTACCGATTTGGTCAATGAAAAACCTAACCCAATGCCTGGTCCACTCTGACCGCTACCTAATGAGCTACATACTGCCCAGAGGGGGTCTGGTGGCAGCGACCTTTAAAACTAAGACTATAGTTAAGTTATCCCCCTTAGAATTAGTGACCCCAGAATCTGGCAGTATATGGGCTTGGGTAACGGAAAAACAAAAGAAGAGTGAAACAAGGTGATAAGGGGGAGAAGTAAAGGTGCATCCTCTTACACTTCGTGACATTGAATCTCAGCAGCCATTTCTTCGACCATTCTTGAAGCCCACAGAGGTTCAGGTACAATCAGGAGCCGGTGCATGCCCAGTACTTGCCAACAGTGCGTAATAGAGACGTGACCGGCCGCCCAAGCGGCTAACAAGCTATCAGTGGAGAAGGGGATAAAGGTAAAGTAAAAAGAGGGTTCACACTTGGAGCTGGTAGACGCCCGCCCAGGCTTCCCCACTAGGGGGTACAGCTCAAGGATGAAAAAGCCAGAAGATCAGAAAATTGTCAGGACAAACATTTTTGGAGCGAGAATTGTAAACTTTTGGAATAATTTGCTAGTGTTGTGACTGCACTGAGTGTGAATTATTTCAAGACCAGGCTTGACCAACACTGGAGCAGGTACAGATACATTCTGGAGCCAGTGCGTAACAGAGACCGACCGCTCAAGCGGCTAACGAGCCGATCAGTAGTGAAGATGATAAAAGTTAACGACCTTAGTTGTTGAAGGGCGGTTATATATTATAAGTTCCTACGGACCAGTATTTCTGTTAATACTCGTTTCCTTCCGTACAAAATCTGGCCCCTTGGGGATGATGACCCCGTGGGAGATATAGATAAATATATATAACTGTATATAAACGCGTTGTCTTTGCAAGAGTAATAAATGAAAGTAAGAAAGTAAAGGTAGCGATCATTAAGCAGTTAACGAGAAGGGGTCAAACAGTCCCTAGCGTACACCCGGCCCTGCCCATACCAGTGTCCAGACTCCAGTATCCACACCACCATCACAACAACAACAATAAGGCAAACATTCAGCTGTATGTGACTTACCTGTGTGGTTTGATTATATGAACATATTTCATAGGGCAAAATGGGCCGCAGTTCTAAAGACAAGCGAGATGTCTACTATCGGTTGGCAAAGGAAGAAGGCTGGAGGGCGAGAAGTGCGTTCAAGTTGATACAGATTAATGAAGAGTTCAATATTTTTGAAGGTAAAATATATTGTCATTGTTTTTAATTTTGTGAAATGTGTCTAGGTAATTATTGACGACATACCTGTCGCCGATTTTTCAAAGAAAATTAATTAAAAAATGCAGCAAATTTACTATTGCCGTGGACACTCTTAGTATGTTAAAAAGTGTTTTTTAATTAAAGCTAACCTAACCTAACCTAACCTCAGTTGATAAGAAAGCAAGTTAAAAAAATATTTTTCTATTGTATTTGTGTGTGCTGAGACCGAATACGACCTTCCTTTTTGGCGGAAATTAGCCGTTTTTTTAGCGATTTTTTTTCGTTTGATGTTTTCCGAGAATAAAAAAGTGCCTAAGCGACTAACAAATACACAATAAAGCACGAGAAAACAATAACCAAACCTAACCTAACCTGACCTGACCTAACTTAACTGACTCACCATATGATGGAATCACCTATTTCTTACTTTATTGGGCTGGTTCTTGTTCGTCGTTGCATTCTGGGATTCTTACCCAACGTCACATATGTTGGTCTTTGCGATATTTACATTCAGTCTTGCTCTTAGTACACTTTACTGAGGTTGGAAGAACACCATGCGATCGAAAAAATGCTGTAGTTTCTTCGTTTTTTTTTCCAAAAACTCGCAATCGGCTCCATATACTTTAAGTGACACTCATCGCAGACTTCCATGGTCAGAACTGAAATTGAATTTCAAAATATGAGAGACCAAAAAGAATACTCGAGTTTGATTGGGCCAAAAATACCGCGAATTAAACCCAAAAACATTTTAATTGGTTTCAAAATAAAAAAGGCTTTTGATTGGCCGCGTGACGTGTACAGCAATGCACGCGCAAGATGATTTATGAAGGGGACTCGCGCAGTGTTGGAGGAGAGGCAGACAATAATGGCAGAATGTTAATGGAAGAAAATAGAAAATATTTTGGAAAAGCTATCTCCGTTATTATACATTTCCGCCGGTAATGTAATAGATGAAAATTATCTTATAATTAGGCGTCTTATTCGAATATGATAATAGATTAGTGGTAGGAATGAACGGAGCTACAAGAAAATAATACCAAAACGGGGGGTTAATATATAGGACTAGCCCGCTGGGGTGCATAGCACCGATGCGGCCATATCATCTCACGTCCAGAAATGCCTCAAATTTCAGCATATCATAATAAGTTCTTTCTGTTTAATATACCGGGGAGGTTAGGTAGGTTTGTTTGGTTTGGTTGGTTAGGTCTGTTCTTCATACCCACAAATGTTAAGTACTGTTTATTTTAAAAATATAAATTTTCAACATATTTCCACAAACTACAACAGTGTCCACTATAATATAACAATGAAAGTCTGGCATTTTTATAATTGTTTTCAACCCAATTTCGCTTTCGGATTAGTCTTATATAATTACCAAAACAAGCAGCCTTAGCATTCTCAGGAGACTGTACCAACCTAACTGTGGTGCTCCACCCCTCAGACCCCTGGCATATTAAACAAAGAACGTATTATGACATGGTGTAATTTTACGTTTTTTGTGGATGTGAGAGTGCCGCCTGGACCTAGCGTCTCATAAGAGTACACTGAGAAGAGGATAAAATTTAGCGTCGATTTATTGCTGTGCAAGATGTAGCGCTGTTAATTTACTTTTATCCTCTTCACCACTGATCGGCCTCGTTAGCCGCTTTGGCGATCAGTCACGTCTTTGATTAATGCGAGACTAAGGGCCTAAATATCTACCAATTGAGGCATTGCCCAAGAAATTAATATCATCTGAATTCAGTGATGAAAAATGATAAGAAAAGATCCATCAAAACAAATTATTGGTAAGCTGTGATGGGTATCTCGTCAATATTAACTGGTGTCTTTTAGAGTTACATGTTCAATAATGGTTTGTTTTTCTTACTATTGTCATTTTATTTATGGTAATACTTTAAGACACTGACTTTAGGTATTTTCGGTAATTTATGAGGAAACCTCAACCACCAGAAAATGTTCATGGATTTCCTTAGTTTTTTACTTAATTGTTGTTTTTGGTGATTATTAGTAGTTTAGAAGGAGTGACAGCTTTATGTTTTCACCTGTAGTACAGTGGTCCCTCGGTTAACGAGCACAATCCGTTCCAGCAGGTTGCTCGTTAACCGAAAACATTGTTTCAATGGGTTTTTGGGTAACTGGTTCCAGCTCACCGAAAATTGCCTAAATTCAACAAAAAAGGTAGAAAAGTACACTTACTTTGAGGTGTGTATGTAGAAGGCTCCTGGATGATGATGATGATGATGATGATGGGAATTAGAATGGGGGTGGAGGAGAAGGAAGAAGAGAAGGCATTGGGGTGGAAGAGAAGTCACCCCATGGCACCATTTCACCCATAAAATTTTAGTTCTCTTGATGTATTTCAAGATTATTTTCTTTAAATCAACACTGCACTGCATTATATATTGTCAATATGTAAAATATATTTCAAAATGACCAATAATTTGCTTGGAAACAGAAAAAAGCGTTTAGTAGTTGAAGAGAGTCTCAAGCAAGATGTTACCTCCACTGAAAACAGAGAGAGACTAACGCCTGTCTGGTGTGTTAACAGGCTGGATGGCACGCCAGAAACTAGTTTCTTTACCTTCAATTATGTTCAATAATTGTTAAAATGACTAAAAAAGTTAATATTAAACTTTTAAAATTATTGAATAGTATAAACTTCTTGATATTTACTAAAATAGTAAGGAATTTAAGCCCTAAAACCGATTACTGTATTGGCGGACTAATACTACAGCTGGTGGACCGCCAAATGCAAGCGAAAACATGTTGAAGTCGGCTCGTAAAAAACTCGTTAATCGAGGGATTGCTCGTTAACCGAAGTTAAGAATCTTGTGGAAGGTAAATCGTTAACCAAAATCTCGTTAACCGAGGCGCTCTTTAACCGAGGGACCACTGTATATTTATTTTTTTGTTTTCCTATATCTACAATCATAGATCATCTGTAGTGGGCAGGATGAGGGAAATTGCAAGGTAAAACACAGTGAAAAACTGATCATATTACACTAAAATGATTTCGCTAAGTGCTTTGTACATGAAGAAATTATTTAATTTTTTGAGGGGAAACAATACTTTTAAGCATGTGTATAAATCTTAATACTGTAACATTGGTTATGTTGGAGGAGATGGCTAACACCAGAAGCAGTTGCTTGATTTCATTAATTTTTTCTACAGATATTGTTTGGATGATAGTAAATATTAAAAATAATACCAACATGACGTAACCAACCCAATCCAACTAAACCTACCTAGGTTACCTAACTTTTGGATCTCCTAGCATTTTAAGCAGAAAGAACTTAATTTGAAGCAGCATTGCATAATTTTACAACCTTTGTGGATGTAAGAGTACAATCAGTTGTTGCACTGAAAAAAATACAGTATATAATATCTCCGTTAGCCGCGATTCCTCTTAGCCGGAACTATACGATATCCGGAATTGAAATTTGCTCAGAATTTTTTGAAAACTCTGAGTTTGGGAACGATTTTACAGAGGCTCATTTATTGGAAAATTCTGAACATTTTCCCGGTAACCAGAAAATTCCAGGGATGGGGTATATTTTTTCCAGGTTTGAGAGATGAAAATCATGCACATTTTTCAGAAATTCCGATAAAATTTTCTAGTACCCGGAAAAATTCCGGGGATGGGGGATTTTTCTGGGTTTGAGAAATAAAATAATGCGTCATTTTGGCAAATTCCGAGAAAATTCCAGTACCAGGTCAAACGACCCACAACGGGGCCAGGGGGGCCAAAAAAAACAGAAAGAAATTAAAAATAGAGAAGAAAAAGGTCCTACTGTGTTAATCTACACCACGAAGATGCTGGAAAACCAGCTTTTTAAAGTGAGACAAATTGTATAAGTATGGAAACACAGAAGAAGGCAGAGCATTCCACAGTTTGGCTGTGTGAGGAAAGAAGGATGTACTATAATGGGTTATTCTCGTGTGACTGACATCCACAGAGAAACGGTGGGCACCGCGGGCAAGACGAGTGTTAAGATCCCACGGCCTTGCCGGCGGTACACAGGATGCCAAATCCACCAAACGTTGCCCGTTAAAGTACCTGTAAAAGAGAGAGAGTGAAGCAACATTGCGGCGAAGAGAAAGGGAAGAGTTTGTTGACTAAAAGAGGAGAGTTAATAAGACGAAATGCCTTTGATTCCACCCTATCAAATAGTTGGACAGAATAAGAGCCACCCCAGATATGAGAGCAGTACTCCAAGTTAGGTTGAATGAATCCCTTATATACTTGGAGCAACTGCTCTGGAGTGAAGTAGCTACGGCATATGTACAGCATTCCCAACTTTCAGGAGGCAGCTTTAGCTACATTAACGATGTGTGATTTCCAGGACATAATGGAGGAAATGGTGAAGCCTAACATATTTTTTTCTGAATTTGGCAGGATGATAGCATCCCGAAATGTAATTGGTGGGAGATCATCTAATTTACAAAGTGTACTGTAATTGGTAAATACTGTATTAATGTACAGTACAGTAATCGTAATGTGTAATTTCCAGAAACTCCGGAAGAGAATTTTCCTGGTACCCGGAAAGTTCCGGGTTTGAGATTCATTTCATTACTCGAAAATCTCATTCCCTGTAAGTGCTCTGCACCAATTGTTCCAGCTAACGGAGATATCATTGTGTGTTTCTTGTTCACAGTCAGCTCTCTGCTGCATTTTAAACACTTGTACATCCTTTTGACTACTTTAGTACATGTTGAAAGTCTATGTTTTTCTTTGATACCCCCAAAATGTTCTACACTACTGAGGGTATACACAAACACTTGTTATCTTGAAAATAGGTTCTTATTCTCGTACGGGAGGTATACAGAGGAAACAAATAGACTTGGGCTTCCACACCATAAGGACTAGCGATCTCAACTCTCTGTATCATTCCGCGCTGGCATGTACAGATGCCAGCATTCACAAGCTGAATACATAATATGTAAATATGATAATTCACATACATAACATGGTGCATAATAAATGGAAATATCACATAGGATTAACACATGTTCTGTAATACTTTACTATACATAATTAATAGAGTAATATAAGAATACACAGCTTAAGGTACTACTTCGTGTCCATATTATACAGAAAGATGAACTTTAGCAGATGTTCTTCATCCTCCACAAACACAGATCACTTGTCATATGAAACAGGATGCCATAACTGTGCAGTTGACAAACAAGATGGCTAACTTCTCCTCTAGGAAGAACAATAAGTATACAAACTTACAGTTCAATTAGAATCCAATGATACTCGAAAGAAATTGGATTCAAATCTAACTACTGTACAGTATATGAATCTCAGCCTTTATACTGTACATAGAGTAGGTTATAAAACCATTTTTTGAAGAAATTGATCGTATTTTCTTGCTTAAAATTTAACTGCTCATAAAAGTGTGTGTGTGACTCTGGCATAATTAACCGAAAGTGTATTGTTATGAAAACGAAGGTAAGCACTGGGAGGCTTTATTTAACTTAATGCAACATCAGTATCCATAGATATGTAATGAACAGAATAAACAGGAATTACAAATTAAGAATGACTAAGCTTCAAGTCACAGAATTGGCTTAACACAAATAAACATAACCTAACATAAGAAATATAAGAGAACTTCAAACAATATAATCTAGAGCACTTAACCAACTAAGCATAACACAGCATTCATCCCTTCCTTTAAAACAACCCATCAGCATACAATTACAGTGAGTTCTGCTATAACGCGTGTTTTGATAACGCGAATTTCCTCTAACGCGATTTATGAATTAGGAACGATATTTGTATAACGCGAATGCTTGTTTGCTATAACGCGATTTTTGCTTACTATTTCTCCAATTTTGTGGTATTAATTGTGAATATGGTAAAGAAGAATATCTCCAAGAAGCGTTCTGGTGATAGAATTCCCGGTGATGATCGTAAAAGAAAGGATATAACACTTGAAGAGAAGCTCGATGTTATCAACCTCAAAATCACCCTTCTCCCCCATCAAGTTACATTCATATTTTTTCAAGGTAAAGTGTTACATTTACTTATGATTTCTTTATTAGATATGAATGTAACATTTATTTAGACTGTGCTATCCTTTGTGTTAGGCTAACTACTAAATTTTTTCGATTTCGAGTAATCTGCACCTAACCCTATTTTCTCCATACGCCCTGTTATTTCTATTACGCGATTTTCTATAACACGATATTTTACAAGAACACAATTATCGCATTATAGCAGAACTACCTGTACAGTGCATAATCGCCCAAATAGGACGGCATATGTCTGGAACGCAACGAGCGCTGGGGAGGGGGCTGAGTTGGCGATGCATCTGGCTGCCGATTTCCCTCGTGGTCCGCCATTTCCAGCTGCTCGTCTCTCTCAGCTACCAGGTGTTCATTGAGACATTCATCTAAACACCTTTTCTTGAAGTGTCTCTGTGCCTGATTCAACACCTTTGGGCACGAGATAGCGCAGAGACACTGGTTTCCCTTCCATCTGGAAATCTGACGCTCACATATTGCGGATTAACATCAAGTAATTCCTCCTCATCCACCGATGGATCATATTTACTATAACGTACTTGGCACTTGAGATACACAGTCTTTTGATTCCTTAACCAGGTAGGTATTGCCCTCCCACTGGCGTACTAAACACACAATATCTAGCGATCTCCCTTACCATGTCATCGATCTGTGGTAGTGGATACGTATCTAACAAGGTGAAACAATGATTGTCTGTGAATAATCTATCCCCATTCTCCGTTTGTGGCCTTAGGACGAGACCACCAATGCCTGAGGACGCCACGGAGACTGACTTGACTCGACTATGCCCTCCTTCAGCATGCTAGACACTTCAGAATCAATAAACTTCTTGTCATCATGTGAATAATGCCTCGATTTCACTGCTATTGGATTGCAGTCAGGTGTCAGGTAGTCAAACAATGATGGAAATGGGACCTTAACAGCGGCAAGCCCACACACCGTCAAGGTGGGCATGGAGCCTAAAAACGGAATTTTAACCACTGAGTGTTGCTGTAGGAAGTCGTGTCCAAGAATAGCATCACTACAGAGGTCTGGTATCACAGACAGTCTATTATCACTGTACTTAGTGTTATTGAGTTCCAGATTAGTAATACAATACAGGTGCTCCTCTACTTCAGAACATTCAACTTACAAACTTTCAGAGATACAAACATCATCACCTGCCAGAACAGGTGTCTAATGTGGATGAGACTAGATTATTTTGAAGAAAATTCCAGATAGAACAAACATTACCTAAGAGGAGAAGAGTGAGCCATGTTTTAAGGCTGTATTAAAGGGTATAGCTGTACTAAATAACCGTAATTTTTTCATTTTTTACAATATGTTTGGTATGTACAATAGTATAGTTGGACTTATAAACAAGCCTCAGGAACGTAACTTGTTTGTAAGTAGAGTAGCACCTGTATTCCAGAACCCTCGAGGTTAGAGAACTATTTGCCATAGACATATTTTCCACACAAGGGAAGAATTTCCATCCATGCATGTGTACAATACTAGAGCTGACAAAGCTTTCAGAGCTACCAGTACCAACGATTGCAGTGACAGGAACTCCGTTTATCTTAGCTTTCATCACAGCCCTTGACAGACAGCCAGGAGATGCAGCAGAGAGTGTTGCCAATGTCGAGAATGATTCAGAGGTGGCTGCAGAGGTGAACTTAGCAGATCGGCACACTTTAGCATAATGGCCTTTCTTTTTGCAGTTGAGACACAGTACATCCCTTGCAGGACACTTGGAGCGGGGGTGTCTACCAAGACCACAGAAGAAACCTTTCAGATTGGCAGCAGCCACATTTACTGGCTGTTCAGGCTGGTCAGTTGGGGCAGATGTGGGTGAAGCGCTTCGAGGCAGATTTACAATTGCTTCCCGATTTATAGACGCCATTGCCCCATTAATAGTGTCAGGTTGCAGATATGAAATAGACTGCTTCTGGGCCATCTCCAATGTATGGGCCTGTTCATATGCAGTCTGCAAGTCGAGTGTTTTATTCTCAAGCAGGCGCTGTCATATTTGGTGAGCTTGAAGTCGGTTAATGAATGCATCTCTGATGTAATTGTTGCGTGCCTCCTCGGTTGAGACTGCTTGAAAATTACAGTCTTTACTCAGGGTCTTCAGTGCTTGCAGGTACTGGTCCAGAGTCTCTCCAGCTTCTTGACAACGAGTTGCTAAAACGTGTCTGGCAAAGATCTCATTTTTAGGTTTGATGTAAAGCTCCTTGAGCGTGTTGACAAGAATTAATTTTTCAGGTGTGACTAGAGTGGTAGACTTGTGTGCTGCACCTGGAAGCTGGAGCCAAGTATTATCACGCACTCTAAGGTCAGTATGAGGCGGTCTTGCTGAGTAAGTATCTGAGGTCAAAAAGTTGTAATTTTCTCAATTGGTTGTGGAAATGACCCTTGAAATAATTCCACAATGTCCATCACTAGTTACAGTAGCTACTTGCTTCCTGTAAGTTTTTTATTCAAATTTTTGGTGTTTTTCTGTAATACTGGAACTGCTAAACCAGTTACTGGTTAGGTTTAATTTATAATGTCATTACAAGACATTAAATAAGTTTTGGAGATGGTGAACAAGTCATCTGTCCCTCCAGTTTCTTGTCATAAATACAGAAGTTTTTTCTTAGGACACATCCCTGTTTTTCTCTTAATGTTAATTATTTACAGATTTTTACCTTATTTCATGCTTGGTTTTACTGGGAACTTGAGGGAGTGTTCTATACAGAGAGAGAGAGAGAGTTTTTTTGTTTTTACTTTTATGGCTTCTCCTCATGATATACAGGTTAATTTATTAGAATCAAGACTAACACATTCATTATATACAGTTGTTGAGTCTCTGTAGCTGCTGAAACAGCTGTGTTCTGCTATGGTGTTCTTCAACACTTCATCATACTGTATAGTTGCAGCCATATGTATTCTTTTCCACTCTTTCGGTTCGCCTGTTTATGTAGCAATGTCGGAGACATACACTGTGGAACCACTGGGCTCATAGTTTAAGCATCTTTTGTTGCTTTTAAGCAAAACATAATACTTGTAGTCAAATATGGTAAAAAAACACATATGGTAAGTTGAGGTAAAAATGAACAATTCCCAAAATGTTCATTTTTTTAAGTAAATAATTTTTTTTTTTTTTTTTTTGTAGGTGGCCTATTTCATGCCTCAAAAGTGCTGTAAAAACTATGTTTCTATGTCTGCTTATTTCTGAGAAGAAAATAGAAAACAAAGTATAACAAATTCATAAAAAAAACTTTTCCATGTTTTTTTTAATTGTGTGGCATCTGATGAGTATTCATTGTTTACAATATATAATTTATGTGTATAAGCCATTAAGCTAGGGGGTCTGGAGTGAGCGGTAGCTCCTGCATTTTGTAATGTTTGGCAGAAATTATTTATACTCACTAATGACATAAGTATTTGTGAGAGGATTTTCCCATTATTATTTATTTATATGTGTTTTGTGTGTGTGTCTACACACACACACACACACACACACACACATATGATATATATACAATGCTATACATATATACAATCAGAAACAAATTATCACAAATGTTGAGTCTACCCTCAAGTGCACTCTGTGCTTTGTTATTAATAAAGCACGGAGTGGACGAGGGTAGACTAAACATTTTTAATACATTTGTTTTTGATTGTTTGTGAAAGGCGAAACACTCTCAATCATTGATAAAGCATTGGGCTTCTGTCACTCAACGGTCGAAACAATTTTGAAAGACTAACAGAAAATTCTTGAATATGTAAATGGATCTACACCAAAACACTCAACTGTGATAACAAAACAAAGAAATATATTGTTAATTGAATTGGAAAGATTGTTAGTGATATGGATGGAAGATCAAAATCAACGGGATTTGCCCCTAAATCTAGCCTTGATTCAGGAAAAAGTGAGAATCTTGCATCCTGACTTGAAGACTAAATGTGGTGGTGAAAGTGATGGGGAAGATTTTGTTGCTAGTCGGGGCTGGTTTAATTGGTTCAAGGTAAGGGCAAATGGTCTTTGGAAAAAACACTGCCCACAGTTTGTCTACAGTTTCAGGGGCTTTGAAAATGATGCTGGGGAAGTGACACAGACAGTGGTAGACCTCCAGCATGATATTCATGAGGATGATGTCACACAGTTGCTGGAGTCTCTTGCTGAAGAATTAAGCAATGAGGACCTGATTGAACTGGAGAAGCAAATTTTGTCAAGATGATGTAGAGCAGTGCTACTCAAAGTGTGGTCCGCGGACCGGTGCCGGTCCGTGAGCCATCGTCTGCCGGTACGCGGAGAGTTTTCAGAAAAGAAAGAAACGATAGTCACGTTCCACACCACGTGACACTGCCGGGACATCTGACTCGGTCTTTTTTTTTTTACATTTTCATTGTAGTTTTTATATTTATTATGGCTATATTTTTCATTTACTCACTCATGTTAAAAGTCATTGCTATGCAACTAACGAATGCGATATAATGAACAGCAAAACAGCGAACTGAAATACGTATAACAACACCTTCATGATGATGTGGCGTTTGACTCTGTGGGAACCACACCTGGGGATATCAATAGGGCGCATCACCTTGTGTTGCCAGAATTGCCACGGTTCTCGGCCACCAGTTATGCCATATCCACCCAAAACATAAATCTTTTTATTTTAAGTATGGTAGTTATTTAATTTCGGATAAAATAAATGTATGCATCCCATTAAAAGAAATGGCCGATTTTTTACTATGCGTGCCAGCCGTGAAGGGTGTCACACAGCTGGCAACCCTGCTATTCCACACGTGTGGATCAGCAGTCTGTGATGTCAGGTCACAGGTCAGTGGTTAGTTACCATCAAGAAGTGGAACAGAGAGCATCATACGGGTATCTGCGTGTTTGTCATTTGGGACCTCATCCCAACCCACTTTTATATTCATTATATTTTTCCTATATAAAATAATATTACTGCGAATGTTCAAATAATATTTTCTCTGATCGTAAACAATTAATTGTATGGCACAAATATGGTACTGGTCCCTGGCACACTGGGAAGACTTGTTATGTCAATGATGATTGGCCTTAGAATGAATAAGACATCATGTCTTCATGTTTAGTACAGATAGTCTCAAAATGCCCCTGAAATAGGACATATCTCAAAAGATTTTCCTGGGGAGGGGCCTATAGGCCCCGGGATTGGCTCGCTTCGCTCGCCGGTCCGTGGCACATTGAAAAAAAACCATGTCGGTCCGCCACATCAGATAGTTTGAGAAGCGCTGATGTAGAGGAAGCTGAAACTCCAGAACCAAAGTGATTCATCACAAAAGAAATGGCAGATGGTTTCATGCTTATTGAAGAAGGTTTGTTTAAATTTGAACAGTGAGATACCAACACAGCAAGATTCATAGAGGTATTACTGAATGTCTATGATGCTACAGAGAAATTTATGACAAAAAGAAGAATGTTTCAGTTCAACCATTCCAAATTAAGCCTCTGTCACAGCTACATGCAAGCCAGTCTCAGGTTTCAATGTAAGAGTTAAACTTAAATTTTTAGTTTTCTTTACTGTATTTTGTCATTCAATTTCTTCTTTTCTCTTAAATTAAGGGATTCGAGATATATAAAAGGACTTAGGCTATGATATAGTGCACAAAGAGTATGTTTTCCGACTTATGTACATTTCCTACTTAAGAACATCCTCAGGAATGGAAGTCGCTCGTAACCCGGGGACCCCCTGTACACATAACATGGGGAAAATCAACTTGGTGACAATTAAAATGTAAACATAGAAACTGGCAAAACATTGCATACCAAGAATATAAATGGTATCCTGAAAACAGATACCAAGTAATAAATCAAAATGTAACAAATAATTTAAGGACAAGAAGAAGAGGACGGAGTAGTGATGAGTCCGGTGGTAGTTGATGCAGGGGCTAGTGTAGGTAATGCAGGGAGTTGGGCACTAGATAAGTTGTGGGGCCCATTGTTTCCTTTAACCCAAATGAAAAACAAGACAAAATAATGCTGTATAGGTATATTATAGTAGGAAGCCATAAAGTAGAGAGTATGATGGACGTGGCTTTATAACCAGTAACAACATTGTATTGTAGGATAAATGACTCTGACTGAGAAATGTCATAAACTATCAGATGTAAATTCTGAATTAATTTGTGGTTTCTTCATATTTGTTTCATTATAACCACTGACAGGTGCTTAAAGTATGGGCCTGGTTGTTCCAGTGTCTGTGTGTGTCTCCAACGGTGCCACATAACTAGGAAAACTAAAAGAGCCTGGCAAAAGATATATGGCTGCAACTGCAGCTAATGAATATATTGTACAGCTAAAAAGTTTTTTTTAGTTTACTTTAGTTTGTACAGTAATTTGGCCTAACTCTTGGTAAAATTTTGTTCTAATAATCTCCATATTGCAGGTGTATCTACTGTATATATATTTTTTAAATAATGTAATAGAACTGATACACTGCCTTTTCATCAATATATACATTAATCTAAATGTTCTAAATATTGACATGGAAATAATATTTCATGTGCTTTTACTGTTTTCACTACAGAGGTGCAGCAGCAGATCCATCTTCGGTAAAAATTGTGGCTGTAGATCTTCAAGCAATGGCACCACTTCCAGGGGTTGTTCAGCTTCAGGGTGACATAACAAAAACTAGTACAGCTGAGGCCATCATTGGTCATTTTCAAGGTGACACTGCACAGCTAGTGGTGTGTGATGGTGCACCAGATGGTAAGTGTAAGGGTAAACTAATTTTGCTTAGTTTCAGTTATTCAAATTGACATAAAATGTCATGTATAACCTCACCCAACAATATGTATTCTATTCTTTTATAAACACTTAAATTAATTTCCTTTCCCAATTTTTCTTTATTTGCAAGTCCTCATTTAATCATTTCCCATATCAGAGTTAGCTTTTAATGCAACACAAGTCATGCCAGTGCAGGACTATGTACAGTAATACGATATATTTATTTGTTATTTGCTGCACCCCATTCCTAGTTGTCTCAGAGCCACTTGTCCTCGGACAAAGAGGATTACCAACCCTCTTAGTGCTCATTTGACTTTAGGCAAAAATGACCAACCACCTGGTTCAGTGAAGTCCCAGTGAACCATCCATTCTACCCCCTTTTTTCCCCCACCAAAAAAGTTTGTTTTCTGCCAAGAAGGAAACTGAGCCTCCATGGAAGTCTCAGCTTCCAGATTAGAGAAATAGCAATTGTATGGGTCACCATGTTTCTATGTTGGAAGCTAATAATAAATAGTGATACAGTAGTACCCATAGCTTCAAAAATGTATACGTTAATCTGTTACTACAGTACGTACATGAAATTATTGTTACTTTCATGGCTTATTTCTTGTGGCTTTATTTTTCATTGATACCTGTACAGTTAAGATAGTTTTATGTTATTCATCATTTCCCAGCATTTTACAATTGGTCTAGAAGACTCTAGAGCATCTACTCTGTGACATTGTAGCTGTTGACTGTGTCATCAATCTGGTGTGGCAAAGCCCTAACAATATTGGCCAAAATAAATTTGAAGTGTTAGTTTGGTTTTCACAGTCTTTCAAAGTATAGAGAATACTCATGTGATTTCTGTTTTCCAGTGACGGGCCTTCATGACCTTGATGAATATGTGCAAGCTCAGTTGTTGCTGGCAGCCTTGAACATAACCACCCATGTCTTGACAAAAGGAGGAATCTTTGTAGCCAAAATTTTCCGGGGAAAAGATGTCACATTGCTTTATTCTCAGCTTAAGATTTTTTTCCGTCATGTTACTGTGACAAAGCCTCGGTCTTCACGAAATTCGAGTATTGGTAAGTTGAAGAGAAAACATTGATCACAAGATAGGTAATGGTGACGTGATGATGAAGAATGAGAGGACAATGATGTGAGACGATAATGTTGTGGTCAAGTCAAATTGTCTTTTAGATAATAGAGTCAAATAGATACAGTGAGCCCTCGTTTAACGAACACCTCGGTTAACGTAATTTCGATTAACGAACTGCCTTCCATAAGGATCTTCAATTTGGTTAACGAAAAAAAATTCGGTTAACGAAGTTCTTACGAACCGACCTCAACATGTTTTCGCTTGACTGACCGGGCAACCAGCTTTAGTATCAGTCCACCAATACTTTAATCGGTTCTAGGGCTTAAATTCCTTACTATTTTAGTAAATATCAAGAAGTTTATACTATTCAATAATTTTAAAAGTTTAATATTCAATTTTTTAGTCATTTTAACAATTATTGAACATAATTGAAGGTAAAGTGACTAGTTTAATGCGCGGCATCCAGCCTCTTAACACAGCAAACAGGAGTTAGTCTCTCTGTTTTCACTGGAGGTAACATCTTGCTTGAGACTCTCTTCAACTAAACGCTTTTTTTCTGTGTTTCCAAGCAAATTATTGGTCATTTTGAAATATATTTTACATATTGACAATATATAATGCAGTGCAGTGTTGATTTAAAGAAAATAATCTTGAATTACACCAAGAGAGCTAAAATTTTATGGGTGAAATGGCGCCATGGGCTTTAATGCCTTAACTCTTATTGATGCCAAAACCCATTGAAACAATGGTTTCGGTTAACGAACTTTTCGGTTAACGAACGACCTTCTGGAACGGATTGAGTTCGTTAACGGAGGGGTCACTGTACAATAATTACCATGCACTTTCTGTGGTGACTTTATCAGATTTATTCCTGTAGGATTTTTGTATTCACACTAATCACATTTTCCTTTGTACAGAAAATCTATAGTCTCTGCTATTCCATTGGTTATCCCTCCTAGACACACTTACCATCCAATCTCTCACTACTTCACCTCCCATCCTTTATATTTCCACACTGATTACATCTACTACTGGTACCTCATCATTCTTAAGCTTGTAGCCAGTCTTACCTCCTACTCACCTATGTTTTTCTTTATTTGGCTTTCACATGTTTTATCTCACCTCATGCTGAACTACATTATGTTTGCAGTTGTTTTGGCAATCATCCTTGCATTCAATTGTTGCACATATGAGGGCAGAGTAGGGAATCCTACAGCACAAGTGCATCATTAGGTACAAGTGGCAGCCATGTAGAAAAAAAAAAAATATAGTGAAAGATAAACATCAAATTGCACCAAGTTATTTATTTTTTTCCTTTAAGAGCTTGTCCCCAGATCCTCTAAGGCCTGGCCTGGCCAGAGGCAGACAATGCCTTTTGTTCCACACAATTTAGAACAGATCAGATCTCTTCTTGGACATGCCATTTTTACATGTAAGAGAGCCCAACTTATTTTCAGTTTTAAATGGAATGCATCTGCTTTCTGTGATAGGAGAGGCGAGATAGACACTCTTTATCTTGTGTGTAATGTGAATTACCCATTACAGTAAGTTTAATAGTTATATGATTTGAGAGAATTGCATACTTCTAAGTTATTTTTACATTTCTCTATATCCTACTCCAATTTTTCAGAGGCATTTGTTGTTTGTGAAGATTACTCTCCCCCTTCTGGTTACACCCCCACTATGGTAAACCCACTGCTTGACTTAAGTTATGAAGGTTCGTGGCAAGAGCTCGAGGGGGTCAACCGTGTAATTGTACCATTTCTGGCATGTGGAGACTTGTTCGCATATGACTCAGACATGACGTACCCTCTGCAGGTAATGTATAATGATATATTTAATTATTTTTTTTAATAAGAATAAGCCTTTGAGATGTCATCCCTGGTGCCATTTATTCACAGTTTTATTGGTGGTATAGTAGAGAACACCTGGAGTTCATAGTCCCCTGCCATTGTACAAGGTTGATCCCTATTTTGCTGCTGATTTTGCATATACAGTTGTACCCCACTTAACGCGGTCAATAGAACCCAGAGGGTCCCGCGTTAAGTGAAAACAAGCAGAACAACAGAACATATGGGATTAATTCCAATAGAAACCAGCCCCAACCCCAAACTCCATTTTTGAAGACACATAACTATGTTGTAGTAAAAATAACATCTTAATTTTATGATGGTACATGCACACAATTAATACTTAGAAAAGAGAAATACAGTCGCTAGTTAATGTCCATTCAAATAATGGACTCAACCCCTCCCTCTTCTCACACTACACTGCTGGCTCTCTCTGAGAAATTTTGGGGAAAACCACTAAATTTTAATAAAAATAATACCTCAAACTAAAGTTAGGATAATACAATTGACATTGCTGGATTCCTTGTAAGACCAGGAATATTTTGAATATAAATGTCATATATTTTGCACAAAAGATAACATACTTACTCAGAGAAACATTTTATCTAAAATTTGTATGTCTAATGCAAAATATATGATGTTTATATTCAAAATGATCATCAAATTATAAGAATTCCAGCAATGTAAATTATATTCTGGCCGGGTAATTTGTATGAATTTTATGAGCTAAACAAATATCTTCAGTTAATAAAAAAATATTCTTCACGACACTATCTGTCAATCAAAGTACCCACCTTGCCTTCCTTCCAACCGCGTCAGTCCCAACCTCCCTTCAAGAGAAAGAGGGGTGAAAAAATAAATTTTAACATTTTGTATATAAAAAATACCTCAGATTAAAGTTAGGATAATATAATTGACATTGCTGGATTCCTTGTAAGACTAGGAATATTTTGAATATAAATGTCATATATTTGCACAAAAGATAACATATTTACTCAGAGAAAACATTTTATCTAAAATTTGTATGTTTTGCAAAATATATGATGTTTATATTCAAAATGATCATCAAATTATAATTCCAGCAATGTAAATTATATTCTGACCGGGTAATTTGTTATGAATTTTATGAGCTAAAACAAATATCTTCAGTTAATAAAAAAAAAATATTCTTTTACAGGGTAACAGATGGTCGGTCGATCCCTCCTCTCCCCCCACCCCACCAACCGTCCCAAGGAGATGTGTGGACAAACCAGAATATTTAACTTTTAGTAATAAATAATACCTCAAACTAAGTTAGGATAATATAATTGACATTGCTGGATTCTTGTAAGACCAGAATATTTTGAATATAAATGTCATATATTTTACAAAAGATAACATATTTACTCAGAAAAAACATTTTATCTAAAATTTGTATGTCTAATGCAAAATATATGATGTTTATATTCAAAATGATCACCAAATTATAAGAATTCCAGCAATGTAAATTATATTCTAGCCGGGTAATTTGTATGAATTTTATGAGCTAAAACAGGCAGTCAGGCAGGGGTGGCGGTGGGCAAATCTAAAAATAGCGTCTCGAGCCGGACACTCACCGCGTATATGTGGAAAAAATCCGTGTTAAGTGAAAGTTCAGCTCTGGCGAGGCACCGCGTATATGAAAAAACGCATTAAGTGAAACCGCGTTAGGCGGGGTAATACTGTATTTGAATTCTGTAATACCATACATTACTGTACCAGAACAATCGGCCAAGAATACAGTGTTAAAACAGTGTTAAGATGTAAAAAAAAGATTACAATTATGTATACTGTAGTATTGTACGTTCAGTAAGTATGAAAGTACAAGCCATTTGTACAGGAAAAGGGGAATACTAGAGCACCGTGCTCTCGCGTCAAAATTCTTGACATCATTGGGGTCTGTTTCCTCTCCATTACTGTGTTCATTACCCGATATTACAGCTCCTCCCTGACTTATGATGGGGTTAGGGACCCAAATCCAGGTCGTAAGTCGAAAATGCTTAAATAATACATAGAAAATCTAATATGGGTGTCTCTTTTTCTTCTCAGCACCACAAAACTCTCACTTTTAAGCTTGCCAGCCATTTTAAAGTGAATTACAAACGAAAATTTTGTCAGTACACAGCGCAATCAATGACGTTGGGACTCAAAAATACGTAATTTGACAAAGTTTTGGTATGACTGAAGCGGTCGTATGTCCGGGTGGTCTGAAGTCGAGTAGGTTATAAGTCGGGGAGGACCTTGTTTAGGCTAAGTTCAGCACTGGGGCACTAGGGAGGGCAGGAGGGGGGTTGGAACATCACCAAGTGCTCCAACATCTAACAACATGTAAGCAAAGAAATTCATATATTTTCGTAAAAAAAATTATGTAATATTTTCATGCATTACATTTAACCACTACTTTACAATTATTATTTCATGGAAATTTCGAAAATATTAAGCATTTATAAACACATTATGTATAACTTATGTAAAACATATAGAAACTTTGAGCGAGGAACATTTGCATTTGGGGCTTAGTGGCAGCCATGCACTACAGTTGTGTTATACGAACGCTTACATATAGATTTAATCAATATACAGTGCTAATGCAAAAAATCCGACCTTTTTATCTCCAATAGTAAGCTTGTTATGACTCACTATGTACAATTATGTTTTGTGTTCGGAGGGAAAAGGGAATCATCAGTAAGTGACGGGCATGCTCATCAAAACGTATAATTTACACCACTGTTACCTTGGAAATATATATTTTTTCACAAATTTTCCTTTCTGACAATTTTTTGCTAAACATGTACGCTTTATAATGGAATAAAGTTCATTTTGGAATCACATGAAATAACAAAGGTAGAAAGTGATGTATAAATGATGTATGTATAAACATTTTCATTAAGTGTAAGCAAAATTTTGTGTTGTACTTGACTTACGTATAGAAATAATTTCTTTATTGTGATTATTCACATAAAACTGTTAGTAGATAATTTATTAACAATGCTAATACAACAAACCCCACCTTTTTATCTCAAATAGCAAGCTTGCTATGACTCATTACATACAATTATTTCTCGTGGGATGCAGTCAAGTGTGGTGGGGTTATTGACCAGTAAAACCCCGAGCATCTCACTGGAGAGCATCTCCATAAACCCAAGAGTGTTAATAAACTTTTGATAAATTTTACACCTTGTACCCATATACATATTACTTTAAAGTTCAACTACCAGGTAATTCATAATTTTTTTAATTAACTATCTCGTGCATATGGAAGATAAAAAAATAAATAATGATACTCTATTTAATTGAAAATTTGTTAATAAAGAAAAAAGACTGTCACTACGGTACAGTAAACACATTCTTTGTTATCAAATTTCCATCAAGGCACTTTCCTCTCGGTCTTTCGTCCCACCCCAATACCCAACTTTGGCCAAAATAACCTACCATAATCAGAAAATTTCCAGTGCTTACCAGCACTCCAGGCAAAAGATGAGGATTATTCAAACTTGTGGTGCCTGGGTTGGCTATTCAGCCCCCTCCCAAATATGTGGTAGGTGTCCGAGATGAGAGAGGGGTTCACTGCAGTACAGTACAGTATACCGTATACAGTAAGCACTTACAGCAAGCACCAATTTTACCAGCAAATGCCTGGGAGGTGTTTACTGAACCAGTGTGAGAGAGAGGACACTAGAGTTAGCATGCGGACCGAGTATATTTTAACTCGTAATTTCAGGTAGATATACTCTACTGTACTGTACATTTTTTGTTTCTGTTGCGATCTTTCATACAGAATGTGCAAAAAAAATATATTAGGTCGAAAACATGAAGGGAAGAAGCATTTCTAATGTGCACAGGAATTATCTCACACACACACAGTAGTGGGGATCTCTCAGCTGTTTGTGGTCTCGTTTCCCATATGTAGTGAAACTACAGTCGACCCTCGTTAAAACGGACTAATAGGGGGGGAAGGGTGTCCGTTTTAGCCGATTTAGGGGTTAATATTGTATTATACAGCTATGTGTATGTTTATTTGAGTGTCCCGATAGGAGTCCGTTTTCTCTCACTTCAGCACTCCTGAGTAGTCCGTTTTCTCTTAATCTTAGAGTGCAGAGACTGTTATATCTTAGTAGTGACACAGAATTTGATATTGAGGGTTTGAATTGTTGAGGCAACTTATGTATGTCTGATTACAGTTGGAATATTCAAGATCCATTGTGAGTGATGTTTAAGCTTCAACTGTCTTTATAGTTGGTAAAACTTGTCAAGTCTGAGTCTGAATGGCATGTGTGATTGTGTTTGTACAACCGCTAAATATATAAATGTATAATGTTATGATAATTATCAAACACATAGGCATAACGAGGTTTATTACAAAGTGATGAAAAGGATACTGTACAGTGGCTAGTCCACAAAACATGTAGCCATGTCTCTTCATTTAGTGCCCGTCATAGGAGTCCGTTTTCTCTCTCACTTCAGGACGCCTGAGTCATCCGTTTTCTCTTAATCTTAGAGTGCACCAGGGACTTTGTTATTTCTTAGTATTGACACAGAATTTGAAATTGCAACCCCAATTGCAACTCGGACAATCCCAGAACCAGAAATTTGATATGGACAGTTCAGATTTCGTCCGATTATCCAAATCCGGATTAAAGGGGTCCAAATTAACGAGGGTCGACTGTATTGTCAAATGGCAATGCAATAATTTTTTCTTTTGTTTTATTTATTAGTATTATTTTTATTTATTCCTCAAATTTACTGGTACAGTATTACCCCGCTTTACACTTTGCTGCTTCCGTTTACGCCGGTAACCTGCTAACACGGAATGCTCACTTTGCGCGGTATGCATTTTTACGCAGAGAGCGGCTGGCGGTCCCGCCCGCCGCCATTTTTGGATTCAGACCTCCGCCATATTGGGTAAGCGGCGCGGTAGGTTGCAGTGATGTCTTTGTTGCGATATCGTGA